CTATCTCTCTGTCTCTCTGTCTCTCTCTCTATCTCTCTGTCTCTCTCTCTCTATCTCTCTCTCTCTATCTCTCTGTCTCTCTGTCTCTCTCTCTCTATCTCTCTGTCTCTCTGTCTCTCTCTCTGCTCTCTGTCTCTGTCTCTCTCTCTGTCTCTCTGTCTCTCTCTCGCTATCTCTCTATCTCTGTCTGTCTCTCTCTCTCTCTGTCTCTCTCTCTCTCTGTCTCTCTCTCTCTCTCTCTCTCTCTCTCTCTCTCTCTTCTCTCACAGAAGTTTAGTTACTGAAAACACTGCCATCTCACACGGCTATTGAAATCACCTCTCTGTCTTTTCTCCTGTCTCTCCAGACTCGTCTCTGACAGGCGGCTCCGTCTGCGATGACAACACTGTGCCACAGAAGCTGCTGATTCTGGATGCTCGCTCGTACACCGCCGCAGTGGCCAACAGAGCCAAGGGCGGAGGCTGTGAGTGTGAAGGTCAGTCTCAAACTATTCAGTAAGTTTTGTTTTAAGTGAAACGTGAGATAAACTTCCTATGCAAAGCACGTATTGGACAAACAGATGAAGACAGGAAGCAGTATTTTTACATTTGAATTTCTGTAATTTCTCTTCCTGTAAAGCATTTCAGATGTCTGATGACTCATCCTGCACTCAGGGGCGTTTACACATTTTTCAACTAATTAAAACGCTTTGTCGAAGCTTCTTGATGCAATTAATTTCATCCCAACGTTATGCCCCGCCTTCTATCTTGTGATTGGGTCTGTCCCATGTCAGTAGCAAATTTGACATAGTAAGAGACTATCCAAGTTGGTTTCATGACTAATTGCTCTTCTAACATAACACCTCAACCAGTTTCAGGGATGAGACTTGTTTTGGAGTAGACCTGACACATTTCTTGTGGTGGTCAGCGTGGTCACGGCGCTGCCCTCTAACCCAGAAAATTCAGTTGTGGTGGTTTACATTTACATATCATAACATTACAAAGTTGCAGGCTCCTGTCGCCGTTCAGTCTTAAACAACGTGTTATGTCTTTTTTCCCCAGGCTTTACAAACAAAATCTGCTATAACAAAGGTTCCTTTTTTAAAACACAACTCAGGTTTTTCATAATCGTCTAGCCAAAAGAAATCAACATAAATTGAAGACATTTTTTTTAAAAGAACATCCCTGATGTCATCATACATCGGGCAGTAAAACAGAAAGTGATATAAACAGTGACATGTGAGACTACCTCTACAGATTTAGTTTGTGTGAGGTAAGTCGAAGTAAGGAGGGTCATCCCTTCACCATCAGGGGAAGAAAAAGCAGCATACTACTGAATAGTGTCAATCAGTCAATGGTGTAAATCAGATGAGATTTAGAAGTAGGTATACTCTATGGCAGGCCTATTCAACTGACGGCCCAGGGGCCAACTCCAGCCCATGGGTGACATCAGACTGGCCCGCAGATCACTTCTATTTACAATTTTTAAGAAAATAACTCATAAACAGGGGGAGAAACTTGTGAATGACTGCCATTGTTGCCACAGTAGAGTTTTAAAAACAGCTCAGCGCTCCCGTTTAATAGAATATCTTTGGTCCTGTGCTCGCAGCCTATCACAAACTTCTGTTGTTGATGAGAAAAACGGCTTTTAAGCACTGTACTGCTGTGGTGGGCTTGCTTGTCCGGCCCCCGGGTACTTAGTTTTCTGAAAAAATATTAGAGTTGAATAGCTCTGCTCTATGGAGACTGAAAAATAAATGGGTTTACTCCGTATACCTGTGTATATCTGCACTACACCACTGCTCAAACCCCTAATACCAAGTTAGCCTGTGATGCTTCGGATCAGGCTTGTGAATACAAAAGTGCCCTGACCTAGATTGTAAACAGAGGCTCCACTCGGCATCGTGCCTTGCTGTTGTGAATGTCCAACTTGAAATATGAAACGAAGAAAGCAAAGGTTGCTGCCGCCAATTGATGATGACGATGATAAAGACTGTTCATTAGACTGAGATCATTTAAAAAATAAATACTCGGATCTGAGGAGATGACACCTCTGTGTTTAACAAGTTAAGTGTTGTTTATGTCTTGTGGTCTTCACCAGAGTTGTTTACGTTTATTTTTATTCAGAGTACTACCCAAACTGCGAGGTCATGTTCATGGGAATGGCCAACATCCATGCCATCCGAAACAGCTTCCAGGCTCTGAGGACGGTCTGCAGCCAGATCCCCGATCCAGGAAAGTAAGTTGATCTGTTTGACCTTTCCTCTCCGAGCCGAGCCACTTCAGTCGTGCCTCCCCCTCCCTTCCTCCCACCTCTCAGTAAGGCGACACCACGCAGAGATGGGAAGGCTGCCACTCAGTCCAGACCCGATCCTGCTGGGCTGGCCAGCTGTCAGTCTGTAAACACCGACAGCGGACTCATCCATCGTGCGTTTCCATTTGTTTACAAGTCTACATCTGTGTGCTTTGACCAGCTGTGTGTGTTTTAGTTGTGTGATTACATATGTGACATGGTATACATGACAAGTACAGTACATAGGTTAGCTCAGCTGCTCTGATGTCACAGGTCATACGCTTTCTCCTGCTCACGCCCGCAGCCTAATAACCCAGTCAAGTGTACAGATGCATTGTTAAGATATCATGGCTCTAGATCACTCCCATCACAAAAACTGGTTCTATCTAGATTTGCCTCTTATCAGCATCCTCTCTCTGTTCCAAGCTGGCTGTCAGCACTCGAGAGCACCCGTTGGCTGCAGCACCTGTCCGTCATGCTCAAAGCAGCCACTCTGGTGTGTTCGGCAGTGGAAAGGGAGGGGCGTCCTGTCCTGGTGCACTGTTCAGACGGGTGGGACCGTACTCCACAGATCGTAGCCCTTGCCAAGATCCTGCTGGACCCTTACTACAGGACACTAGAGGTGAGATGTCACAAAGATTGCCCAGGTAGTCGTCCATAAAGTTGGATTTTACATGCTCATGTTATGATTGTGGGCTTAACGTTGGTGCAGTTGTTAGCGGTTTGAGTCCCTCGTTGGACTTGGCCTCTCTGTGTAGAGTTTGCATGTTCATGCATGGGTTCCCTCCAGTTTTCTGCCTTTCTCCCACAAACCAAAGATAAAGAAAGGCTAAGTATTTAAATCCACAAATCTAAATTGTCCGGAGGTGTGTTCACACTGTCGCTAAAATGACCTGAGGACACGTGGAATCTGATCTTTTCAAATTAGATTTTGGACACTATTTATGTGTGGATTCCCACAGGAGTCTGATACACCCCACATTTAAAAATCAACCTGAAAACGGAGAACAAAAAAGTCAGATCTGAGCAAAAAAATCTGAACTGAGTGCAGCCTTAAAGGCAAAACAACATCCCCTTCTGTTTACCTTCATCCTACATAATAACAGCCAGTCTGAATAGAGGCACAAACTTGCTGCAGAAGAAGCTTCAGATCTAAATGCCAGCAGTTGAGATGCATTTTGGGTATTGTGCCAGCATGTGAAGTATGTGTGGAATAAAAAAAGTCAATGTTGAGTGATGTTGAGTAATGCATGAGTGCAACGCTTAAGTTAATCATTTAAGTTGCACTGTACAGCGATCCCGCTCAGTTCTGACTGCCGTGTTGTCCACAGGGTTTCCAGGTGCTCGTAGAGACCGAGTGGCTGGACTACGGTCATAAGTTTGGGGACCGCTGTGGTCACCAGGAGAACGCGGACGACGTGAGCGAGCAGTGTCCCGTCTTCCTGCAGTGGCTGGACTGCGTTCACCAGCTGCTCAAACAGTTCCCCTGCCTGTTCGAGTTCAACGAGGCCTTCTTGGTGGGTGGTCATCCTGCAACGTCTCCCTTCCTCTGTCAATCTACATTCAGCTGCATCATAAACAACTTAGAAGACAAAACACAAAAAGAAGAACTTCTTTATTATGATTCTCTTGTTAACCTTTATAATCCTTAAGGCATCACCTTTGTTTGTTGTAAATAATGATAATGATTCTTCACTAGTTCTTGCTCCTCTTGGATATTGCTGCTACATCGGTCAAGCCTTTTGTCCTTGTGGCAAATAATGTAGATTACTATTGATGTTCCCACACATGGAAAAAACTCTGAGTTGAATTTGAGTGAAGTCCGGGTGAGCTGATGTGTGAACAAAGCAGGTAAAAATCAGAAGACAGGACAGACTCAGACAACAATTCCTTTTAGTGTCATGATCTGCCTCCTGAGACCGGCTTCAATCCTCTGACAGGGACTACAACTTTTAAATATTTAAGGGGGCGAGGCTGTCTTAAATTTTCTAGAAACTTTCAGGAGTAAATTTGTGAAAAACAGCGGATGAGGGTTAAGAGCTGGGATGGGAAGACATGCCCTCTTTAGTATCCAGAGGTGGTGGAGCTGATGTTGAGTCTATTTTACTATGGCTGAGGTGTTGATGGAGGAGGTCAGCGAGGTACAACAACTAAAGAAGTGAATTTTGCCATTAGGGATTACAGCTGTCGTTGGCAGAGTTTATTACCTCTCATCTGAGCTAGCTTGCTAATGATGCTACATTTGGCTTGAAGAGTTTGATACAAAAGATTCCTGTTAAAGCCTTGTGGTAAAATCAATAAATACAAACAAAGAACCACAGTTATTCATGTTTCTGCCTCCTCAGTTGGCATCACTTATCAAACCGTAAAGGATGTAATCATCGGCCTTCTCCTCCCTTTGATGTGTTTTCAGGTCAAGTTGGTGCAGCACACGTACTCGTGTCTCTACGGCACCTTCCTGTGTAACAACGCTCGAGAGAGGGAGGCCAGGAACATCTACAAACGCACATGCTCGGTGTGGTCGCTGCTCCGGAGCGGAAACAAGAACTTTCAGAACTTCCTCTACATCCCCACTCATGATATGGTACGTAACAAAAATCTTACAGTGAGCTGCCACCTGAATCATGTTTTTAAGCTTTTTATTGAGGAGGAGATGACTTGCACATTCTATAGAAGTCGTGGTGGAACGTCAGCTGACCAGAGCTCTCGATTTATTTGTACGATTTGATTGTCAGACACGACCTGAGAGCTCTAACTGTACGAGTGAAATCAGGACTGAGCATTCACAATTATCATAAGAAAACTCCTCATAAGCAGGGCTTAACTGGGTTAAATACGCAGGCAAAAAGGCTCTCTGTCTCTTGCCCTCTCTCGCCCTCTCTCTCTCACACACACACTAATAAACACAAGCTAACTAGCAGCTAAATCATATATTCCCTGTCAGCTGGAGGTCTGCAGATATGTCTGCTATAGTTTCTTTCATGATATGAGTGGGGAGACAGAAATAAAGGGAATGCCTGCTGTTGCCATGGTGATTTCAGACGCTGTCCGTCAGTTTGTGCTGGTAAAATCAGAGGCGAAAAGTCCAGGATTCTGGGAATCGGCTCACTGTTCGATTGTGTGTAGTTGTACGACCAAAACATCAAACATGTCAGAAATTCATCCGACTTATCGGGAGCAGCTGTTTGAACGGTGATCAGCCGTCGTGTCTCAGTGTACATTGCACTACTGACCTCGGATGATCGGGCTGACATTCTTCAGAAATCAAAAATTGAAGGGCGCTGGTGGCGCTGTGGTTAGTGTGTGCGCCCCATCTATCGATGATATAGTCCTCCAAGCTGGCCGCCCAGGTTCAAATCCAGCCTGTGGCTCCTTGTCTGCATCTCTCTCTCTCTCTCTCTCTCTCTCTGATTTCCAACTCTATTCACTGTCCTATCTCTCCATTAAAGACACAAAAGGTAAAAAAAAATACATCTTAAAAAAATTAATCAAAAATCGGTTCTCAGCCTGAATTCGTACAGTGTACGCCGGGCTTAAGTCTGTTGTTATTTCTCTAAGATTGAACAAAGCGAGGCTGGACAACTTACAATATCAACAACTGGACAATACTTCATTTAGAGCATTGTTGCACTTTTACTTTCTCCAGTTTTTTTCTAAAGCTGCACTCATAGAGGCATAGGAACCTTTATTATTGTATTTTGACCTTCTGAGATTAACTTAGTCCCTTGTTTGTCTGCTAGGTGCTTCAGCCAGTCTGCCACACTCGAGCATTACAGCTGTGGACATCAGTCTACCTGCCCACCTCCTCCCCCTGCACCGCTGTGGACGACTCCATGGAGCTCTACCTCCCCCCAAATGTCACAGGAGACGAACTCAACTACCGCTCCCTGGACAGGTGTGTTTGTAAGATGCAAATCTGGTCTGTTATTCAGCACCAGTACTTTGTGTTCCTGTCAATCCCTGAGCAGTGATTTACATTCATTCACAAGAATTGTATTGCAGGGAGTTAGACTGCCCTCTTGTGTCCAAAACAGTGAATTGTATTATCATCATTTCTACATATGTGGGAGATAAATTCTTTTTTTTCTAGACTTCCCAAGACGCGCTCCATGGACAACCTGCTGTCAGCTTTAGAGAACGGGGTCCCCCTGACACGCACATCCAGTGACCCCAATCTCAACAAGCACTGCCAGGAGGGTCGCTCCGCCCCCAATCCCTCACCAGCTGCAGAAGAAACCTCTGCAGACGTCTCTGAAGAGGCCGAACCTCAGGAGGGGCTATACACCTGTGAGGTGGAACCTCCACATCAGAGCCCGGCTAAGACCCCAGAGGATGGTCCTGGTACTGAGAGCTGTGAAGAGGAACCAGAAGAGACCTGTCTCACTACACAGCCACTGCCCTCTCTGCCCCTTCCGCCTGTTCCTCTCAGTACAGACATAACACTCGCTCACACTCCTTTCCCAGCTCCTGTACTCCAGCAGGCTGTGCTTCAGATAACTAATCCTCCACTACCACCACCTCCACCTCCACCTGAGGCTGAGAGCCCCTGTAGGACTGCAGAAAGCCCCACATCACCCTCTCATAAATCAGAGCCGTGCTTACCTCTTCCCTGCAACGGCACACAACCTGCAGTCCTTGCACCCAGCTCGCTGCTCAACGGCCACACTGACAGCCTCTCAGAGTCTGCAGACCTGCTGGCTTTGAAGCAGCTCACACCACTCCTTCCCATGGAGGACTCCACCGAGACTCTCACAGGAGAGGGAGAGCTTCCTCCTGTCCTGCCTCCCACAGTGAGCCAGGATCTGACCCAGAATCATACGGAGGAGGAGGAGGAGCTGCCTGAGCCACAGCCACCGGTTGAGCTTAAGACGGAGAAGGAGAAAGAGGACATGAGGGCAGATGTAGTGAAAGGACGAGAGCGCATGCTAACTGTCACCCCTGTAGATTGCACCCAGGTTGCAGCTCGCCATCTGATCACGCAGAGCCAGCTGTCAGACCTGTCCCTGCTCGGCTCCCACTGGGAGAGTGTCCAGGGTTTGGTCCAGTCCGCCTGCAACAGTCACTCAGTCGTTGGCCGAGCCTTGCAAAACAACAGTTACCAGAGCCGGCGTCTTGCAAGTAAGCTGCTCCGCTCACAGGGCTTCTCACTCGCCAACGGGTCCCAATGCTGCCGCAGAGAGGCTCTGTGTTGTCCCAGCAGCCCCCTGCAGCCTGCATGGCTGTCTGCTGCCAGAACCACAGGCTACTCCGGCCTGTGCGGCCCCGCTGCTGCCGCCGCCGCCGCCCTTAGCGGCTACTCCCTGGCAGGCCATCAGCTCCTTCCTGCTTCATTTTCTTCCCCCTCATCGTCCAGCTCCCCTCCCCCTCCCCAAGCCCCGTCTTACCTGGACGACGACGGGCTGCCGGTGCCCATGGACGCCGTGCAGCAGAGACTGCGGCAGATCGAGGCGGGCTACAAGCAGGAAGTGGAGGTGCTGAGGCAGCAGGTACGACAGCTGCAGATGAGGCTGGAGAGTAAACAGTTCAGCACTCCTCCATCAGAGCCAGACATTGACTACGAGGACGACATTGTGAGTAGTTTTTAGATGATGACGGTTATTCTGGCCAGTCTAGTCCTTTAACCTGTCTGTCTCCTGACCTCGTCATTGTGTCTCTGCTTTCAGACGTGTCTGCGTGAGTCAGACAACAGTAACGAGGAGGACTCTTTGTCCACCCACAGTGAGGACCGTCTGTCTGAGGGCAGCTGGGACAGAGTGGAGCCCAAAGACACAGAGGTCAGTGTCCATCAGTACTTCATCTAATTTAGCTTCTGTCTTCGCTTCCCCCCCTCACCTGTATGGCTAGGAGCTCCTTTGATTACTGCACTCAGCTCTGATAACGTGTGTGTGTGTGTGTGTGTGTGTGTGTGTGTGTGTGCGTGTGTGTAGGTCACGAGGTGGGTGCCCGACCACATGGCCTCCCATTGTTTCAACTGTGACTGTGAGTTCTGGATAGCCAAGAGACGTCACCACTGCAGGTTCGGGCTTCACTACTGTTTTCTTACATCCACAAACACAACAACACATTCACTCACAAATGTTAGAAGGTAACAACTTCCACATAACTGCAAACAACTGAGCAGATGCATCACATTACTTCTCTTCCTCACACAGCCTTGGACACATGATGATATCGGTTGTTATGTTTGGTACTAAATCAACATTACCCTCTTGAGAAAATCAAGAATTTAGCAGGGAGTTTTTTACACTCTAAGTATGCGATAGGTTACACGTTATTGTCCTCTTTGGGAAATGTGTCTGGGACTCGAAGTGCTGCAAACATTCAGCTGCTTCCACTAGAATCAATAAATAAAGAACAATAGACAAACACATCAACATGTAAACAGAACTTCACATACCAATGCAAGACAACACAACATGTATTGCACAAGATCTGCAGAAACCGCACAAGAGCGAAGATGACAAAGGTAGAAGATAAAAACATATCGGAACATCATGACCATAAATAACTCTGAAAAATCATCATCTTGTGTTTAGGGGGCATGTCACCCACTTAGACCGTAACACCAGGAAGGTTGTGTCCGTAGCTGGGGGATGAAAATCAAACTACGAATGAATTGAAGTTATCTGTTCTTTTAGAAAGAGGAGTTTTCCTTCTAATGAAAGTAATGACGTGGGAAAATAGCCGATCAGTGGTGGTCTTGACCGCCTAGTCTGAGACGAGACCGAGACCTTCAACGAGTTGTCTGATTTTGAGTACATCAAGTACATCACAGAGAAAGCTCGACCCCCCCTTTGACCTCAACCTTGACTGAGGTTCAGCGAGCAGGGCGGAGACAGCTGATCTCAGAGGCCTTCTTCAGCAGTTCTTGAGCATATACTTTTTTGACGTAATAAATGATGTTCATGCATCAAGCACCGAACTTCTTGAGATGCAGCAAATCCGTCATTTTAAGAATCAAATTTGAATCATCACAAATAAAGTGTTTGGCTGGTTTAACCATCAGTGATTCTATACAATCAAAATGAGTTTAGTAAACATTTCCATCCTCTACAGTCCTGTAAAGTAGCACATTACTGAAAACAAAACATTTTAACTACAAGCTGTCTTTTTCACACACTGCTTTGTTCTGATGTTTGATTGTTTATGATTTTTAGAGCACAGAGCTGTGATCATGTATGAAGATGTCCTCTATGTGCTGTCCCTCTGCAGAAACTGTGGCAACGTTTTCTGTAAAGACTGTTGTCACCTGAAGCTGCCGATCCCGGACCAGCAGCTGTACGACGCCGTGCTGGTCTGCAACACCTGCCACGACCTGCTGCTCGAGTCCCGCACCCGTGAGATCCGCAGCCAGCAGCTCAAGAAGGCGATCGCCACTGCCTCCAGCTGAGACGAGCGTGCTGCAGCTTGGCCCGCCTCGGCTCTGTCCTGCTCTACGGACTGACAAGCTGAGCGCCCTGTTGTGACCCTCAACTTGCTGTGGTTTTGGCTGTGGAGGGGGAATGGGAGGCGGAGTTTTTACTCTGTTGGTGGCTCGACTTTGGAGAAGGAGACGCACTGTGAGAGCGTCTGAGATAGGAGTGTCAGGGGGGATGAATCCCTTCAGAGATATTTTCAGCCTGCAGCGCTGCAGCGTCCGGCTGCCTCCACGCGACTCAGTCCTCTATCGGTGCCCTGTCCCGAGACCACCTCCAACCTGTCCACCCCTGCAGAGTCACCCACTTTAAGCACCAAACACCTGCACCCTCCTCACAGACACCGTCTCGCACCTCAGAGGACAATCGCTCACACTTTCGGCGTGTCGGGGGACTCCAAAGCCTTTCCCTGTACTACTGGAGGCTTTCAACTTTAAAAAGAAAAGAAAATTGCTGCTACAGTATTTAAAAGTCTAATTTTGTATTCTTATTTTGTGCACTACTAGTTGTCGTGTGTTTTGAGGGAATCTGAGACCAAACTTGAGCAAAAAGGGAGAAATCTGCTGTTTACTTTGTCATCGCGTCGTTTTTCTTGGAGCCTGAATGTAAAAATGTAACGGGGGTTAACTGGATCGACTTTATGTTCCTGTGCATTTGATTGGTCGTATATGTGTGTTCATTGCTGCAATGTGTTTTCAAAGAGTTCTATATATATGCACAGTCAGTGTGGTTCTGTCTCTATCAATGCTTTCCTGCAGTATAGCCACGATGCTACATTCTGGGGGGGCTGTGTGCGGACAGATGGATGCGATGCAGTGTGTTGTTTGTTTTGTGGGACGTGTGCTTGATGTGTCAAGAGGAAGAGAAGCCGGGGGATGCTGGGAGGCGTTCTGTTAAGTCTCCTTCTGATCTGAGAAAATGTGAATTGAAGGTTCTGTGGTTGGTTTTTTGTTCCTGAATGAGCGGCTCGTTGTCCTCCTGAATGATGATGACTCCTCCTCAGAGTGTGAAGACTGAACTAAGTGCTCGGAGTTTCTCGTTCTGTTTCGGGGGCGTTTGGCCACAGTCCCCCCTCCCCCCCTTTAAAAAAAAAAATCTGTGTTGGTGTCAGCTGGTTGTTCTTTGAGACAATAGTGCCATATTCTGTTCTGTCTATTTTAAAGCCTTTTTTCTTTCTTACAGACGGCAGCAGGTTTCTAATTGGCCACTTCTCTTTGTGTTTGGATGGTACGGATAGTTAGCTGCTTAATAACACTGAGATGACAAAAGATTTAACAGGAAGCTCAGACGGATGATCGGAACGTCACTAAATTAGTCAAACTGTGTGTCTAATATTTGGGATTTTTCCACACGGTCTTCATGAAGTCAAAATGTATCAAAGGAAGTCAGACATGTAACATACATAGTTATCTGATCCGTAGTGGTGGCTAAAACCTGTCACTTAATGAATAATTGTTGTAAAGAAATGCACTGTAAAAGTTAAATCCCATGGGTTAAAATAAAAGATTATATCATGGATCGGTTTCTGAGCTGGTTTATTTATGACTCTTAATGGCAGGTCTTCTGCTGCATGCACTATCTTCAACCAGTCTTGAGCTACGACTCATCTTCAACCTCCCCAAATCAGCACATCACTCTGCTGTTCATCTCCCTCCTCTGACTCCCAGTCACTGCTCACATCAAATTTAAAACTCTGCTCCTCCTTACCTAAACTCTCTCATCCAGGTCTACTCTCCCTCCTGCCCACTACGCTCTGCCAATGAAAGGCATCTGATCCAACCTTCACAACAGGGTCCTAAGTCTCTAAGGCCGCTCTTACACTAGGCAAAGTTGTCCTGTACTGTGCTTAAGCATTATTAATCCCCCCATCACTTCCTGTCAGCACCTGTGTGTCTGATCAGACTTAAAGCTGTTTGTGTGCACCTTCTGATGTTGTTTCCTCCTCTCTCTAGTTTCTTACTTTTGTTTTTCTTACTCTCCGATTGTTCGTCACTTTTGATAAAAGCGTCTGATAAATGAATTCTAGAATTGCATGTCGAGTTGCATGACTTATTCTTATCTATATCCAGGGGATGAATTTAGATCCTTGTCTTAATCATAAGCATCAAAAGTGTCCTAATGATGACACAGAAGAGTCTGCGGCAGCAAATCAAGAGGCTGATGATCAGAACATCAACACGATCAGCCCTGCAGAACATCACAAAGAAGAGGACGCAGGAAGTGTATTCAGATACAGGATCTGTATCTGCACAAAACAGACAACGACCCACCCACACATTCGCACCTCTGTTAAGTATGTAGGTGTGTCTGATGTAAATTGAGTTCAGCCCTTTAACCCTCTGATGGGCTCCAGAGAACATAATGCTGCTTTCTAATTATCTGTCTGCAGCGTTGTAACTTTTCTCACATTTCCAGGTCCTCAAAGATGCTGAATGAAAACCACAGACGCACAGCATGGACTAGTGGTGAGTTTAGAAGAACCTGAAGTGCTATGCTGATTAGTTCTTTCCTCCTCTTAATTCAGAGGGAGACAAAGTTCTTAGAGTACAGATCATAAGTTTGCAAAACAAGATTTTAAACCTGGAATATTACATTTGCTGAAATTGAAAAGCCGATAATTTTTCATTACGTTGAAGAGTAAATTCAGCACTAGTCTCCCCCGTATGAGTAGTGGGTTGCTCATTACACAAATGCATGATCCTTACAAGTTATACCTCGTTGTAAAGGTGACTAATCAGGCTTTCCAACGATATATAATACAACACCAATTAGTATTATCAAATGGGCGAAATAAGTGACCAAAATAACATTTGCAAACTTTTTTTGAGTAGTTTATATTGTAAACTCCTTCCAGCACTGAAGCCTAAATCTACCCGTCATTTGTCCACCAGGTGGGGCTGTTGCACCTCGAGAGACACATAGTGTAGTATCTGCAACAAGACCAGCTCTATCAGGAAATCAAATCAAGAGACATTTGCATAATTTCACAGTAAGAGATGTCTCTGTTTCACAATGTTCCCTGGTAAAGGACGAGAACAGTTCCTCTTTAGTAGGAATCAACAGTCATCTCCTTCCTGCAAGTTAGTGTTGAAACTTTAAGTTGAATTAGGAACATAAAAGGGACTGAAATAGAAGTGTTCTCTTGACCCCTTCTCCCTAAGCAGCATGTCATTTCACTGCAGTTGAACTCATTTTAATGAAAGCCTGCATCTGACTAGCAGAGACGGCTTTCCTCCCACTTTGGATGGTGCAGCTCCTTTATCTGGAAACATTGTCTTTTTTTTTTTATTCGTCCTAAATTCTGACAACACAGAGTTCAGACCAGGAGGCAGTGCTGCAGTATTACACGCTCCTCTGCACCTCCTTTAGAGCACTTTACATCATCAGCAACTAAATCTCTATTAGTAAATGATCGGATATCAGATTATTTTATCTATTTACTTTGTTTAACTCGCCCCTTTCAGACTGCCTTTTTTGCAAAAGTCTACAGTCTCTAAATGTACTATGGGAGGTAGAGCCTTCAGTTATCAGGCTGCTCGTGGTACCTACAGTCTCTAAATATACTATGGGAGGTAGAGCCTTCCACTATCAGGCCCCTCTCCTTTGGAATCATCTACCAGTCAAGGCCTGGGAGGCAGACACCCTCTGTATTTTAAGAATAGACTTAAAACATTCCTTTTTGATAAACCTTAGGCTCAGGCTTGGACCAACTCCCAGTTATTCGGCTATAGATTGAACTGGACTGCCAGGGGACCTTGCTCCAGAGCTCCTGAGCTCCCTGGTCTCGTAGGTCCATCTGGATTGTTGGTGTGTTTTTACCCGCTGACCCCGCTACAACTATTATCAGCCTTACATCTATAATCATTAATATACATATTAAAGTGACTCTATCCCACTTTCTAAGCTCGACACAGCAGATGGCTGTTCATCATGAGTCTGGTTTCTGCCTCTCAAAGGAAGTGTTTCCTCTCCACTGTGACTTTGCTCAATGCTGCTTCTTGCTCATGATGGAGTAATGTTTGGTCTTTGTAGAAAACATAACAAAGAGTAAGATCTAGAGCTGCTCTTTTGTAAAGAATCTGCAGATAACATTTGTTAGAAATTGGAGCTATACAAATAAAGATTGATTGATTTTCAGACTTCATCATCGTCATGCAGCTTCATGCTCTTTTATCGTTGCTGACAGAAGATTTGAAGAGCAGCATCAGCTGATTCATGTTTTTAGGATGAAGATGTGCCATCCTCCCTCACCGTCCTCACTCAGCAGGATCAATAATTCAGCAGGAGTGTGTTCAGGTTTCTGTCCAGCTCAAACTTTTCTGAGGAGAAACTTGAAGATGTTCGTCAAGTCAGAGGCAAAGCTTTGCACTGACTTGACGAGTTTTGAAGAGAGGGTGAAGTGGCCTGGAAAATAAAAACCTTTTGGAAGGTTTTTAAGGTGTCCTCTTAAGATTCAGGCTCGCAGGTAAAGCTGCACGCGTGTCTGAGAGTGTGTGTGTGTGTGTGTGTGTGTGTGTGTGTGTGTGTGTGTGTGTGTGTGTGTGTGTGTGTGTGTGTGTGTGTGTGTGTGTGTGTGTGTGTGTGTGTGTGTGTGTGTGTGTGTGTGTGTGTGTGTGTGTGTGTGTGTGTGTGTGTGAATCTATCCCTTCTCTTTGTGTCACTCTGTGTCAGGTAGTTTAAAACCACAGAACTTCATATCAAATCTAGTGGAGAGCCCCAGATAACATTATGAGAAAAAACAAACATCTCAGTACTGATTGTGAAAAAACAGATGTGTTATAAGGGCGAGAGAGAGAGAGGAGTGACATGCAGGAAAGGAGCCACAGGTCAGATTTAAACACGGGCCGTGCAATGGGAGGATCATAGCCTCCTTTAGCGCGTGCACTAACCACTCTGATTCTGGCGCCCCTTAACTGAGATCTTCACTCCAGTATCTGCACCTCAATAAAACTTTACAAGTCCTTTTTTTTACATCAGTATTTCTATTGTGTGCAACTTTCCTGCTCTAAATTGATGATTCTTTGTTTAAAACCTGATGCACTAATACAGAACTCCAGCTTCATTCACACCATGACACATTAAACCATAAATGATGATTATCCAATAAACAAAAAGATATATATCGCTGACAGGAGGCGACCTTCATCACGAGGACTTTTATCTGAAATACGTTCACTGTGTTCTGCTGTATTTCATAAAACGTGTTTGAATGAGACATCAGGTTCATGTTTCAGGACTCCAGTGATCCACAATCTAAGAACTCAACAAAGTACATGAATATACGTTTTATGCAGCAGACATGATGAGTCATTGTGAGCGGGCATCTTCACCACAACCTCGACTAAGGTTGATCTTATGAGATAAAAACTTCAGGTTTCAAAATAGGACTTCATACATGCCATTATTGTGTGCAGAAACGGGCCTTTTAAAGATCTGGTGCCCTCGGCCATAATGTGGGGGAGCACATCATGGATTCTGGCTGAATTTTTGGACATATGAATATGTCTCTATCACCATGTGAAAAAAAAAACCGATGTTTCACACAATGTAATTTGTCTTCATCACCCTATTCATTTTGTCAAACATGTAGTCATGGATATCCTGTAGGTGACGTGAAAAAAATGAAAAAGCTTACAGCACCTGGTATTCCCAGGCGGTCTCCCAACCAAGTACTAACCAGGCCAACCTTGGCATGGTCTTGGTCCTGACTTGGTCTGGATCCCTAAATGTCCTGGTTTTGTCTCTGTCTCGTCCTGCCTTGGTCCTGGTCTTGGTCTTGACTCAGTCTCGACCCCTAAATGTCTTGGTCTTGTCTCAGTCTCACCCTGCCTTGGTCCTGGTCTTGGTCTTGACTCAGTCTGGACCCCTAAAGTTCTTGGTCTTGTCTCGCTCTAAGAGCACTCTGGTCTCGGTTAGTGCGGTCTTGACTACAACACTACTCTGAAGGTTTTTACCCAAGACTTAAGACTAAACACTGAGACTGTTTGAACTTTATAAATGGCCTCCTTAAAGCTTCTCTGAGGTGTCCGCTGAAATGGAGAACTGCAGATTTTCACTCTGCCTGAGCCGATGTAGTGAGAACAGTTTTATTTCATTTTAAACCAAACAAACGTGTTCATGTTTTTAAAGCATCTCTGACAGAACTGAAGGCACTGAATGGGTTAATTTAGTGATCTGAATACTTCCTCCTCCACTGATAATATATGTGACCCAATAATAAAGCTTTTACAAAGAGCTCCATTTGATCAAAAGGGAAAGAAGACATGGAGTCTTTGTTTCCAGAAGTGATTATATCATATTTGTACTGTCAGTGTTTTATCTTGAATCTATCCAATCAGGGGCTGCTTTTGTCGACTTATCGTTTTGTAATGATAATTGTGCACACATTGATTTTCAGTTAACCCTTTGAGGGCCACCTTTAGTTACCTGTGGAGCACCTAGCTGCCCCCCGCATGAATGATTAACCCCCCTGTGGTTCCTCCACTTTTCTCTGTGAATGTGTTTTGGCTCCTGCGCACCAGGAGCCCATTGACTGCCCCCCCCGCATTATCAGTGCAGAGCGCTATTAGAGGCGATGCCCGAAGGGGGAGGGGCCACTCTTTCTTTCCAGTCGGATGCTGATAGATAAGTATGAGACCCCCTGCAAGAATGCGATCACATTGGAAAAAAACAAGTCACCGTGTCATTCCCTCCGCCGAGTCGCACACTCTCCAGAATGCAGCAGCTCATCGTGCCCGCTCTGCTGGCATCACTGTGGACCCTCTGCACGGGAGCCGGAGGTGAGTGACATCTCAGTCATTAAGAAATATCTGGAGGATTTTATTCTGACATATCAGGTCTGTCACCTGAACTAAGAGGTGTTAATCATCTAATGTCTGTATTCATTAGTATCTTATATTCCTCTCCTCCATGTATCTTAAAGCCTCTCTGTGATTACAAGTCGTGAGGTTTTTAAACATCAAATCATTTATTTACAAGATAAATAATATCTGTCAGTTTTATTCTCGATTACTCTAAAAAAATGAACGCATCAGGAATATTTTTTTAGAGCCTTTCAGGTGATTTTTTTAACACTTTTCTCCAACAGTACAACTATTTTATTTATCATAAAGTTAGAAGTTATCGGAATCCTGTAATTCAAAGGAAATAAATCAAAAGAAAAACAAGCGCCGCAGTTCACGAAAGAGAGGCTCCACTCTCACCAAAACCAAAACAGGCTGCGTGACGCTCTCTCGCCGCGCTCACACACACACACACACACACCAAACACACGCGCGCACACACCGGTCCCTCTCTCAGTTATGTGGCCCCGTACATTCCTCCATCTGTCCGACGAGTTCTTCTACAACTCTTCACCGCTGAACTCCCTGCTCAAAGGCACGAGAGGATCCAAAGATACTGGATCGGTTGAGCCGGAGTCCACACTCTCTCTCTCTCTCTCTCTCGTGCACCTGCTCAGATCCACGCTGAGCCAATGACAGACGTTTGCGTCCTTGTTGCCGCAGAGAGAGCGAGAGCGGGAGAGAGAGTGAAGCGCTCACTGACTGAATGAGGTGTTAATTCCGCAGAAAAAGCCGCGAATTTAGACACCAACACTCGATGGATCAAATTATCAGTAATTAATGACTGACTGTTGTGTGAGACCTCCCATAGTCTGTCTGTCTGTCTGTCTGTCTGTCCGAACATTAAGGAGCCGTTGCGTAACGGGTGCGTAAATACGGAGGAAAATCTTGCGAATCCCAAAACTTAAATCAAGCCTGTCGGTGGAATGTGATCAGATTTGACACCGTGCGACAAACACAGAAGTCCATTTAAATCATTTAAGAGAATAAAAATGTCTTGTGAATACTAAGTGAACGCGTAAATGTTCCAAAGTGTTGTGCCAAGAACTCCATGCACCGCGCCTTAAAACGGTGGCAGATCTGTGATTACAAAGTATCTGAAGTTTATATTTGTATTTAAACGTGAAGTGTCTGTATTGTTCTGCAGACTCTGTGAAGACGCGTCTTCTTTTTTTTACTGGTCTGCGTAAATATGAGCTGAGAACAGAATCTGACTCTGAAGTGTCTGTTGAGGAACTTTAAGGCTGGATGGTAAAGTCTGCAGCGTGGAAAATGTGTCTCCATCATTTTGCATTCTCCTGTGAGTGCAGGATTTTATAAGCTGTTTTAATCGTCTCCTTAGAGTTCCTCTTTGAGGAACTCAAAGAGGAACTGTATGTTAGATCATCGAGGGGGGTTTAGTGATTAAATGAGTTTACTCCATTAAATGGAGTAAATGAAACAAAAAATATATAATTTTGAGTTCTTTAGGTCGTCTGCAAAAGTCAGTTTTTTCTCCTCCCTCGTTTTTAATTGATGCACCATCAAAAAAAAAATTCGCAGATTGTTCCAGTCCTCTTTTTTTTTTAATCCCTAAAGGCCCGGTTTGGCACATGAAGGGGGGGAAGAGGACTGGCTCCCCGTTTCTTTTGAACCGTGTTTGTGTGTGGACGCAGCGTCTGCAGCTCCGCACAGTTTATGTCTGGCTCTACCAAAGACACAATGGCATGAAAAGATCCGCCACATGATGTTTCTTTCTGCTCGACGTGCACTCGTGCACAGACCTTTGTTTTTTTCTTCTTCACAGTTTCCTCCGTGTTTTTTTATTCTACCCTCTTGGCAGAGCTCTGACTTGGATCATTGCAGCTCATTCATACTGTTCATTTTGCCCTGCGCCTCACAAAAGATCAAAGGCGAGCGCTGATTGGCTGCGAGTTGTGCGGACAGAAATCTGATTGGCTGAAAGGAACACAAGGCACCACGCGGACTTTAAAAATATGTATTTAGAGTTTTTAGATCATTTACTTCGTTAGCAACAAAACACGAAAAAAACATTCTATCACTAGTTCAGAGTTGTAGTCAACATTTTACTTTATTCTAAAAATGATTTTAGTCGCATTTCCTTTAAAGTAAAAATCTGAAACAGGCTGAAAATGTCGAGTAACGTTTTATGTTAAGTAGTAACTACACAAATAAACACATTTCTGCTCCTAGAATTATGTCAGTAAAGTATAATTAGATCTACAACCATGCATCAAAACAAAAAGGTAAATTATTAAATAAAGCCCGCACTGAGTTGGGAAAAGGGCGTTCAAGTACGCTGCTCCCTCTTCTTGGATTGTAAAATTGTTGTAAAATAATGTAAAATCAAATCTTTGGAAGCTGGTCTCCCTAGATCAGGGGTGGGCAACTGGCGGCTCGGGGGCCACATGCGGCCCCCATCAACCTTAAATGTGGCTCTCATGTTAATTTTTTACACATCAATTAATTGGAAACATGAAGAAAACATGATGAAATCTGCCATGAAATCATGAAAACCAGAAATATGTCCATAATAATATCTGATCACTGGTATATGTTGAGTTAAATTTGAGACATAATCGACTGTAATCGTTTAATTTGGCCCTCTGGCAGTGAGAATTAAATGAATGTGGCCCTTGCTGTGACCAAAGTTGCCCATCCCTGCCCTAGAAGTTTTTAAAGGACTTCTTAATGACCTGGAGGCATAAATATCTGGCTGTAGATGCTTTAACTGACTCATATTGCCTCTTTTTTGATCGCCTTGTTGATGATTGTTGAATGTTTTGATGAATGTTTCTTATATTTTGTGATTCCTTTTTTTATTTTCATTGTTGAAACTCAGTAAATTGTGCTGCTGCCTGTCTCGGCCAGGACGCTCTTCTAAAAGAGATTCTTCATCTCAATGAGACTTTTCCTGGTTAAATAAAAAATAAATATAAATGTCTCAGAGGCTCTGAGATGTGTCAGGAATAAAGTTTAAAATTGATGTAATGGATAAAACAAGAGCACTGAATCTATATTTATAAGCATAAATGAATTAATAAAAAAACAAATAAAAAAACTCACTAAGAGCTTGAATATGAGAAAACCTTATTTAGCAGATTTTTTGTATATGACAGCATGTTTGTTATGTCTTTTAAGAAACGTGATGTTTGGAATGAGGCTGACAGGCTCGATGGTCGCAGTTATCAGAAGTCATTTGAACATCTCGTCTTTGTGAGACTCCCACAGCTGCATGTCCTGAATGTTGCTTTGATAAGCCTGATTTTAGCTCATGCAGCCTTTGATGCAGATTAATGACACATCACACAGCTACCCCCAACCGCCCCTACCCTGTCAGATCATACAGCCTGTAGTGTAAAAGTGAGTCAAAGTTTGGAATTAATCATAATCCTTTTATGCCCAGTGTGCACCCAGGCTGCAGGCAGGGAGAGTTAACGGTAAATAGTAAATGGACTTGAGCTTGTTTAGTTCTTTTCTAGTTTTCTGAGGACTCAAAGCTGCAGGTCACATCTACACATTCACACCCTGATGGCAGAGGCTGCTGGGTAAAGAGTCCATCAGTATTAACTCATCCATTCATACGCTGCAGACAAAGCAGCGGGAGCCACTTGGGGTTAAATGTCTTGCACAAGGACACATCGGACATGTGGCTGCAGGAGCTGGGGATCGAACACCCGACCTTCCAGTTGAGAGACGACCGACTCTACCAACTGAGCAGAAGTGTGTTGTGGGAAGTGTTTTCCCTCTGCAGTCGTCACGCTGCGCTGCACACAAACCCTGCAAAGATCCTGCAAATTATGAGATACATGTGCATCCTCTTCTAGTTTCTCCGACCTCTTTGGTGAATCAGGGTACATGTGAGAATCTGGACACTTTCCCCCCAAAAAAGTTGCCCCCCCTGCTTGGTTTATTTTCAGTCCCCATTATCGTGCAGGAGCAGCAGGAAAAGGCTCACCAACATGGCAAAGAAACCAAGCAGTGACTTCCTTTACAAACACCGGGAGAAACCTTTTTTTTCTCAATGGCATGTGTGTTTTCCATAAATATTTGATTTGTGAGATAGCTGCAGATATTTGTCTCCGAGCACGTGGTGGAAACATGCAAACCAATTGTGAAATATTAATAAACCTTCAGACAAACATGTGAGAATGGGAGCTGGCTGATGCTAAAGATTGGCTCTGTGTTTGTTCTGATAGCACGGAAAGATAAAGCACAAACGCAAACTTCTGTTTTTGGTGAATAGGAAGACAGTTCCTGTGTGTCCGGAATAACAGCTGCTTTAAACTAATAAGAGAACAATTCACTGTTCACTGTGAAGAAAATAAATAAACTGTCAATAACGGGACGCTTTTTAAATACACAGGGAACCACGCTGCACAGTTTTCAGAGTTTATGTTTAAAAAGAAACATTCAGGCTGAGGCTTCATTGTGTGAAGTTTGAGTGTGTGTTTTGTTTTTTTACAATACTTCCTGTTGACGATGACACTAAGAAAAACCTTTAAAAGTTAATTTCCTGTGTTTCAGATTGGTGCTATCAGTCCCAGTTCAGCTGTGATCATCAGTGCAATGGTAAGCCTAAAAATGTGACTTGTTTTATGATGCCGTTGAATCTTTCTTGATATGCTCTCGTCAACAAAGACGTTTAATTAAATCATTTAAAGTGCAATAATACACAATCACTACAACTGAAGTCAAGAGCTCTGAACATGTAATATTTAGAGCAATGGTTCTTGACTGGTCGAGCCTCAGGACCCTCCAACGACTCCTTCATTAAAGATCACGACCCAAAAGTCTGATATTTTTTAATCAGTCAGATTTAATTAAAGATACATTGGGCAGTTTGGACCTCGGGCTGTATGAAGTGTGATAGCACAAAGAAACTGAGTCAAAAAATAACACTTCATAGACTTTTTGACAGCATTTTTCTTTCAGGCACACTGAAAACGGCTCTGCAACCTACTTTTGTGTCCTGACCCACCAGTTGAGAACCACTGATTTAGAGAACAAACACATGTAAAAGAGGAGAATGAAATAATTAAGATTATAGATTCTATGTTTAAAGACTCGATGTCTGATTGTGTCAGAAACAAGCAGCCCTGAATAAAGTTTAAATCAATCTGAAACTCTTTTTCAACGCCGGAGGTTTCAACTTGATTTAAAGCCACAAAGAGACTGACTGACAGTTTTTCAATGAAGTGATGGAGAGAAGGATGGTAAATGTGAAATAGTGGGAAAAAATCACGTAGGTGAAGCTAAAATGATAACGAGATTTGTTTATTTTGAAGGACTCGACTTCATCTGTGAGACAGCTGTAGTTATCCGAGTTGCATCATATTTATGTAAATGAAGTAGAACTAGGTCTAAGGACCGTCTGCATGAAAATGAAACACGATCAGATGCTTTGGGAATATTTCAACACAAAACATTACATGTGGATGAACAAAAGTAAAGGATCGAGGATGGATCTCTGCGGATTTTCATTTCATGGAGAAAATAATAAAACACAATATTTGACATAGCTTGAATGCCTTCTAGATGTTTAAGATGCTCAGTTAAAATCATCATCATTAAAAGTGGGCGTAAGATCTCAAAATAAAAGGATATGCCACTATCGGCTGCCGTGAGAAACTTGTTTCGAGCCCTGAAAGGAATCGTCTAAATGCCATGACCTGTTCTAAAAAACAAAATGTAATTTATCAAAGAGACAGCTGAGCAGAAAGCGATCAGTGAAAGTTGCATCACAGGAGTTATTTTTCTTGTTTAAGCCCCAGAAAAGTGGGACCACGCAAATAGCAAATGCGGAGGAAGAAACCAGTCACCCATCAATGTCGTCACCAGAAAGACTGTGAAAGACGAGCGACTGAAGGACTTCAAGTTCGAAAACTACCAGGAGAGCTTCAGAGGCACGATCAAGAACAACGGACACTCTGGTGAGCATATTTAAGAATGCACAGACAAAACTCACCAACTCAATGAAACTGCTTTATGAACTCTTAATCCTCTGTTTTTGTTCAACAACAGTTCAAGTTGGAGTTCCTCACGTGAGCACCGTCTCAGGCGGAGGTCTGCCCACCACCTACAAGGCGGTGCAGTTCCACCTGCACTGGGGCAAAAATGGAGGACCTGGCTCTGAGCACACCATCGATGGGGAGCAGTATCCCATGGAGGTAGATTCATCTTAATCTTAGTCTTTAACAGGTGACAGTTTATGAAGAGTAAAGGGTCACATGAAGACAGCTGGATGAATGTCATTCACATGTATGACCTTAAACTGACAAAGATGATGTTAAAACTTTGGGTCAAAACATCTGAAACCTCTCCTGCGTGGTGTCGGTCTTTAGACGTGTTCACACATGCACTCCTGAAAAGTTGTAGAGGATAACAGGAGGACTGCCCCTTGAATCCTCCTGACCTGGTTGTTTACCCATGCACCTCACAGGGGGAAACTATCCCTGTCAGACAGGAGGGGGTCTCCTGAGGTAAGATGTGACGTAAAAAGAACGACGTGAAACTGGAGGACGAAGCAGCAGAGTTCAGAGGGGGGATCACTTCGTCTCCCCATAACGCCTACACAACATTCAGTAAATATTGCGCCTTGAAACAACAGTCTGAATAGGGGCTTTCCTAGATCCTGTTAAAGGAGCTCGAATCCGCCTTTATAGTCCTCCTGTCTTCCCTTCATTGTTTATCAAACAGTGTGTCTTTGTAGTTTTAACAGAAATCACCCCAAAAGGAGATGAGTACCCCTGTTTTTTCAGGTGTGAAAGTATTTACAGCGTCTACTCAACATAAGCGTCACAGTCTGAGCTCAGAGACAAAGGAAACTGTCACACAATGAGTCTTGTTGGCGTCTTTTAACAGCTTGTTGAAACAAAGGCACAGAGGAATAGAGAATATCAGGATCATGATACGTGACAAAAGGGACAAACTTATATCCACGATATCTGCGTCTTTTGTCCGAGCAGAAAGTCAAACATTGCAGCCGTGAACTGATGAAGTTGAGACATTTCTGTTGGTCTGATTCAATATGAGATCGTACAATCACTGCAAAAAGTAACGACTGTAAAGAAGTAAGTTGTGACATCAGTAAACTTTTTTTCTCCACAGCTGCACATTGTCCACATGAAGCACCAGTACACTGACCTGACCACGGCGCTATTAGACTCCGAGGGAGTTGCAGTGCTTGGGTTTTTCTACGAGGTAACAACATAAACCTGAATCTGCTGTCACAGATCAGACCTGGAGTTGGTATGACACCGCAGTGCTGACCGGTGTATTTATTCTATTTCCAGGCATCAAACAGTGGAAACAAGAAGTATGACCCGATCGTCAACGCTCTGAAAAGCATCCAAGACACGAGTGAGCGCTGAAGTCCACTCAAACATAATCAAACACTGCAGCCCTGCTTGTGTTACTTAACCTTCATTTTTGATTTTCAGACGGCAACACGTCTCTACTTCCCATCTCTCTGGCTCAAATAATCCCACCCGAGCAGAATCTGACCTCCTTTTACCGCTACAAGGGCTCTCTGACCACCCCGGGGTGCACCGAGTCCGTGATCTGGACTCTGTTTGAGAATCCCATCCCTCTGAGCATGGATCAGGTCAGGACATTTTAAGGACATACCACTGCTTGTTGTTTTGTTTTGATACCTTCTCTTACTTTTGGTTTCAGAACGTGGCCCTGAAACCAAAAGTCTTTTAGATCCTGAACGTAAAGGTCACATCTGAAGTTTCTTGTTTGTCTGGAGAGAATAAAAGTGCTGCGAGCGCATCTTGCAGATGTCAACAGACTTTATGATAATTGGCGGTAATCATATAGTTACTATGTGATTGGCTGGTTCAAAAGAGCGCTGGTGACGTCATCCTTCTGAAAAGTTTAAAGATTTTCAATTCCACTTGCTTAGAGCGGCTGCACAAAGAAGGCAGAGCGCTCGGAGAAAGGACCCTGGGTGCTGCCCTTTTTTTTATGCAGGTGCTGCCTGCTGCTGCAAACGCTCACTCCTCATTGGGAACACTTGAAAAACAAAGCTAAAACTCCAGTTGGACACAGGGCCTAACACCAAAATGTGTTTGGTTGCACCACTTGGCGTTGCCCACATTCATCATGATGATACGAACGTGGCCTTTGAATCCAATGTTGCTATGCCTGAATTTGCACGTTTGAGACTGTGCACTAACATTTGTGTTCCTCCTCTGTTCCACCAGCTGCGGGCGTTCTCCGAGCTCAAGTTCAAAGATGGGAAATCGATGGTGGGGACCTTCAGACCCGTGCAGCCACTGAACGGCAGGCAGGTGTACCGGTCCGGCGGCGCAGCCATCCTCGCCAGCTCCACCCTCCTCATGGTCGCCATCGCCTCTGTCTTGGGTCTGTCCGAACCCAACTAGAGCGAGGCATCCCATGATGCACTGCGACATCCATGAACACAATAAGCTCTGAATCATTTCTAAAGTGAACTCCTGTTTGTAAAGTCTCCATCGCATGGTCGCTAAGATGACGGACCACGTCGTAGTGCAGAAATCACTCACCTGGTCTTCCTCCCTCACAACACCAATGACAAAGGCATTCTGGGAATGCTTTATGAAAGGTGCTGTCAGGGTTCGATCAGCGTTCATGCATGCATAGTAAAGCAGTAGATCTTTTTTCAGCGTTATGAATGTGCCATAAAGAAGGTTACATAGCACTAAAAGTCATATCTTAATTCAAACTCCATGTCCGATCCCTGAGTCGTACCTAAACAGCATCATCCTGCAAACACAAGCACACAAACACGCCCGCATACCCTTTAGACGTCACCCGCCTCTTCCAATGTCAGGTAAATTTAGTCTCTGCTAATGTCTCTGATGGTTTGCGCTCTAAGGGGCAGACGTTAGCCCCCTGACCCGGCACGTGACGCGTGGTTCTCAGTGGGGCCTGTGAACAACACAGAGCTATTTATAGCAGGACTGAGTCACAAAAACAAGCTCCATTTCAAAGCCAGCGGTCAAAGGAGTCAGCAGTTTGGCTTTTCTGTCCCGGTCCAGGAGAACAGAGCGCAGCCGTCAGGGAGGGAACCTGCACAGCCACTCAGTCAGCAGTTGGTGGGGCAGGAGGGAGGGCGGTTAGGTGGGTGAGGGGTTTTGCATTCTTAGAGCAGCGCTGTCTGTTTGCTTCTACAATCAGAGGCCACTGACACCTGAGTCCAGGATGAGGAGGCAGAGATGCTAGTGCTCACAGTGACAAAGCATTTTGGCAGCCTGATGTCAGATGGAGGAGGGATCTGATAGACTGTATAAAGAAGTGAATGTAGCTACTATGACGTCACACATTCATTTAAGAACCCGCTCTGAGCCTTTTGGCCGTCGCCATGTTGTTTTCAGAAGCATCCACATTTGGACACAAAGGGCGGATAACCATTGTTACGGCTTGATAATCCCAGGTAGCCTCAACCAAACAAACCCCAAAGCGGTGCACGTGACCCCTACGGGGGACCGGAGTTATGATGGGTCCCCCCAGAGCTTAAAACAATGCACCCGGTCTGTCACTGATAGCAAAGCATGGCAAATTTTGTGAAAGGACTTCCATGTAACTGCCAATCTCCACATAGTCTGTACACGCCAAGGTTCGTCAGCACAGCACACCTGTTCTCTCCCGCTCTAGTCAATGATTGTCTTTCCACATCACGCACGCGGTCTTTCTCTGGAGCGTGCCAGCAGCACAAGTACACTCTGCTCTGTTTCAAATACGCACCAAATCTTTTTGCGACGGAGCACGCTGCAAGCACGTGTCAAGCAGGACAGAGTAGATCTGACAGGAAGTCAGACAACACACAGAGAGTCTAGTCAATTTCAAAATAAAACAAAATCAACGGACTCCTGATCGTGTTTTTCATCACTTTATCAACATGGCGGCGAATGAAAAACAAAGACAAAGCAACATGTTGTTTGCACGCTTTTCTTTTTATTCCCGTGTGATCTTGAAGTTCTCCTGTGATGTGTGTACAGCTGATCATGGCTTAGCTTACGCTTCAGAAACAGGCCGAGTCGGGCAGGGTGCACGTTGGCAGACGGAGCAAAACCGTGGCACTGACGAAACGCAGTGCAAGTACTAATGCGGAAATGGGGGAAGTGGGTCAGGCTGACAATGAATCTACATCTCACGTTTGCAGTATCACTTTTAATTGCTTCCTCTTTTGAATCCTCTAATGAAAATATTCATCTGCCAAAGGGGGATCCAGGAGAAAAAGTTCATGATATTTAATAACGTGCTGTTTTAAAGTTGAGTGAATATGCATGTTTAGAAAATGTTTACAAATGAAATAGAGAATCAAGGTTATTTTCTCATCTGGTGCCATACAATCCAACTTCTCTTTGCAGCAGGTGGAGTCGCCCCCTGCTGGTCATTAGAAAGATTTAGTGAACTTCTGAATTGGCTTCACTTCTAAAACTAGAGGCTACATCCGATTCTTTTATACAGTCTACTAGGGAATATCTAAAATCCCCTGCAAACAAAATGTCATTATTCCTGTGCATCTCAAACACTCGGCATGAATCTGCATGTTTTGATGTTTCCAGATGTTAGTAATGTGAGCTACGTGTGTGACAGCAGGGGTTGAGCTACACACACTAATTGCCAAATTCATTAACGACGCCATCACTCCATTTTCCATTTTTTTTGACCCGTGGCGTTCACTGAGCTTCTGTCTCGGAACATGTGACTTTGTTCATGGCTTGTAAAACAGGGTCTCAGATGCACTGAATGTTATCGACTGTGAATTACTCCCCACCGAGTCCTCGCTCATTTATCCAGGAGGACTCGATATGTATTCTAGCGAAGAAAATGTACTGTGATGACTGAGCAAGGAATCTGTGTATATTTAAATTCCATTGTTTCATAATGCATCAAGTTCTATTTCTATGCTGTGTCATTGTACACATGTATTTATGTACTGAATGTGTATATGAGACACACAGTTATTGTTATTTATGTAATGCAAAGTTTATATAGTAGTGAATGCAAACCCATAAAGATGAAGCATCAAGTCGTCCATGACAGATCGACCTTATTTACGATATGTAAGTGTATGAGATTATAAGGTTGTCATGCTTGAGAGTGTCATAAATTATATGGAGAATGTGTTCCAACAGAACTAAAGAATAAAAAAACTTACATGCCTTTTTAATGACGGTGTCTTCTGCTTGCACGGGCGCAATTCAAGCTAATGGAGCGGGGATCAAAACAATGTCCTCCTCCGCTTCTCTGCACGCTGAAAACGGATATTAGAATACACTCTGTTGGCTCTGTTGTTTGTCTGCGAGCTCAGACACACAGACAAGCCTCTCACTTTTCCTGCACACACACGGATCTGCATCCTTTAATCCTTTTCTAATTGACCTGTCCTTGATGTTGCAGAGGCTGTTTTTGGCTACACGCAAATATAGCAGAAGAGCAGGTTGTTGTAGCTTCAAATCTACTAGACAACACACACCTTTCTTTTCCAGAGACAGGGCTGCAGGTGCTTTTTCACTGCCCCTTTCAAGCTACTTAAAAACCTCCTCCCCACTTCTTTTCTTGTGTTTTCCCTCGTCATTAAGGAATCAAAAGGCTTTTTGTGATGGGCAGCCTCTCACAGAGACATGCATCACTAGAGAGTAAAGAATGAATGAAAGCCTCCTGTTCATTCCTGTGAGCTGGCCTCTTAATGCTTCTTAAGTTAATCATCAGGACAGGCTGGAGATCAATGGCTGCATGCTTCATATCTGACAGGGGGTACCTTGATCTACGTAGTCAACAGGACAGCATCCATAACTCCGAAATCTCTCCTCTAGCGACCCATGTCCCTGGGGGTCTGTGGGACAAAGGGTGTCCTTCTCCCATCCTCAAACTGAATGTGACCCTCCTGAAAAACAGGCACAGGAGCCCATCAGATAGCGAGCTGAAGCTAAAGGTCATGGGGCCAAACTTTGTCAATGTGGTGAAGAGAAAAACAAGCAGTGTCACCTTTACTGCCTCTCCGTGTGAATCTCCCATTTCATGACTCTTAAGCTTGATCAATGCTGCAGTGTGTGCGTGTCTACCACCAGCTCAACAGATATTTGTAGCCGACACTAACTTTCTTACCCTAATGAAAGTCTACAATAGTACAGACAACTTTTTGTATTTTCGATGTGGCTGGTTCAATAATGTCTAGAGGCTCGATTCAGAAAGGAGCTTCAGAGTTAGTTAACCCTAAATTGAGGGAAAGTCTGGGTTCTCAGTTTCAGAAAGGGAGGCCAGCAAGTGAGCGAGCAGTGTCCTTAGTGTTTTTCTTAGCGAGCAGAATGAGTGTGCTATATTACGGTGACAGGGACGTGCAAAGCAAACAAGAAAAAGTTTGAGACAAATTAACATTTTGGAAGTCAAATGTATAAACGACAGAATCTTGCCAGAAAGGGAAAGTACCAAATGGAGCGAGGGACCCCGGAAGTGATTGAGTGAGCAGTCAACTAGTTTCTTTTGGAGAAAAGACAGTTTCTCGGTCCAATGGGGGGAATATTCTTTGGCCACAGCACCACTTACTTGTAGGGTCCCGCAAGGCTCCATTTTGGGGCCTTTCATCTTCTTATTGTATTTGTTGCATTTGGGATACGTTTTCTAAAAAACAATATTGCTTATCACTGCTTTGCTGATGAAATCCAACTCTAAAGATTCAATGCAGCCATTGCTGAACAGGAAGAAAAATGTTAAATTGTGGATGGACTTTAATTTTTTTATGAGTCTGAACAAAAATTAGTTACTTATTACTTGGTAATAAGTAACTTATATTTACTTATATTTGGAAAACATTTTGATGACTGTGTCTCAGTCCTCTAGCTTGTCGTATATGCCAATCTGTAAAGATGTTTTACATCTAAGACAGGTGACTTTCAACCACTAATAAAAACACATTCTGTGTAATTATGCAGCTCATTAATTAGATTTGAAACAGCTTTGATAACCAGGTAGGGATTTCTGTTTCGCTCCTCTCTGGCAACACACTCCAAATGTTGTAACCCCCTTCTCCAAAGGTTGAAAAATCCCTAACACACTCAAATGGATTGGGCCTCCATGATTTTGCTCGCTATTCTTCAGAGAGAAATACCATCGTTTGTCCGGTGTTGGAGCAGCAGCTAGTTGGGGTCAACGGCCTCTGCTGCTCCTGTTTTTACGAGGATAAGAATCCACAGGAAGCAATATAAAAAGGGCCAAACATTCATTTCCTTAACGCAGAAGAGAAAGGCCATTAGGAGAATGTTGCTTTGTCCTTTAACAAACGAGGGCTTTTGTTGAGGAAAATAAAATAACTACAGCGGGGAACCATTAACAGCTAACATCTTTGTAGGATTCTATTTATCACAGCACAGACTTTGTGACAGACATCAGAATACATTTCCCATCAGCGGGGATAACCACTAAGAATTGACGCACCGCAGCAAAAGTCAAACAGTTTTTAAGCTGACAAGCAGCATCCATGCTTTCAGTCAGACGTCCCTCTCACGTCTGCAGTCTTTGCAAAACGCTGCTGTAAGAGTTTTAACAGCTGCACGTATACAGCAGCACGTCACTGCTGTAATCGCCTCGCTTCACTGGCGCCCTGTTGATTTTAGAATCCATTTGAATATTTTATGAATTGTCTTTAAGTCACTGCATGGTGTAGCCCCCTGTTATTTATCAGAACTCTTAAACCTGATTAATGCTTCTAGGCGCAGTGCGGACGCCGTGCACGGTCACTGCGAACGTCGAGTCGTTTCATACTGATTGTGTTAAGAGCACTCAAAGAGCTCAACACCAAGGAACAGGCCTCTTCAGTAGTCCTCTGAACCCCTCCAGTTTTACAGCTCCATTAAAATTTGAACGGCATAAAAAACTTCTGGGCCCTGTAGCCAATCAGTGCAATGCATACGGCTTCGCGCCGACCGCTTTTTTAACAAAATCTTGGAGGTGCGCGGCTGGGTGCCGGGCCGTGGGCCCTCCTCACGCTGTCACACAGGGCCACGATTTCGCAATAACGCCGAAGCATGAATCAAGTTTTAGTCCCCTACTCCAGAGGATAATCACTCAGGTCCTCTGAGCGGTCTCTGTCTCCTTGTCGTCCCTCGAGCTCGGTGTAAACTCAGGGGCGACCACGCCTTCTCAGCTGCGGGCCCCCCCATCTGTGAAATCATCTGCCTCCCCTCATCAGATGTGCAAACTCATTCACTCAAAGCACAACTCAGAACCAACCTTTTCTCCAAGGCCTTAAAAATTTGTTAAAACAAATCTTATATTTGATAGAAAATGTCTTTCTTTGTTGCTGCTGTCTTTAAAGCTATTATGTTTGCCTGAGATCTGTTACGCCTCGTCTGTGCTGCACAGTGTTCAGCTGAGGCTGATTTTAAACGTGCTATACAAATAAACTCGACTGGATGACGTGTTCTCGTCCATGCAGCTGACATCAGTTTACATCCAGGGCTGTGAGAGACGATGAGAAAGAATGTGAGGTGACTTGAAGCCTTTTCATCTGACAGATTGTTCGATTAGTAATAAGATTAGTTCGATTAGTGTTTAAAAAACAACTTTCTTCCTGTCAATAACACTCGAGGTGGAGGGCAGGAGAGGTTGGAGGTCACAGCACAGCTGTCCAATCTGAGGTGCTCCAGGAGCAACGAGGCATCTTGTTTGAATGAAACTCACTGCTCCAGGTGTCAGACGGGTGAAAGTGGAGTCAGTAGAGCTGACAGACCTGGCTCAGAGTCTGGTCTGTGAGAGGCAGCCAAAGCGAAAAGGTTAACTCTCTGTAATCCCTTTTAGGACCAGCAGACTCGAGGGAAGAGATCCGGATTAGTCTGGTCCTCTGTAGACTGGAGTTCATGGGGGGACAGGGATGGATATGGAAGAAAGACCCGCAACACTTATAGAAGAACCTGGACTTTTGACAATGTCCACAACAATTACGTTCGAATGAATGTAACTAAAAATTATGCAGTCCGGAGTACCAGAGACCAAGGAGCAGTGGCGATTCTAGAGCCTGTCAGGGTCCCAGGCAAAAATCAATTGGGGGGTCCTCCAACCAGCGTTCATCACCAGCCGACAATTACTCCTCCTCCATTGGATCATTCCTCTTCAATTTTCTTTGTTGACTTTCTTTGACAAACTTTGGTTTTAAAGGAAATGATGCAGGGCAACAAGAGTGCTGTCAGATCGGGGACCCCTAAGGGAGGTTTCCTACTGTTGTTGCAAAATGTGCACATTTTAGGCCACTGCTTTGGTTTAAGTTTGGGCCCCTTTACTGGTCTGGGGCCCCAAGTGGTTGCCTGCCTTGCCTGTTGACATGCAGTGTCTCTGCCAAGGAGCCAATCATCAACAAGTCGGAGAGCCATGAATCAGATTTCCAGAGGCGTGCATCGTGCACCGGGTCTGCCTGTTCCCCTCAGTTACATAATGGCCAAGGTTTCCAGGTAGCATTTTGTGGAGGCAGAATGATGCAGTGAGACTGAGTCATACTGCTAAAGGCAACTCATTTCACGTTAAAGCTGACAGGAAATGACGTTACTTTTTTCACAGGAGGATCTCCTACATTTAAACCTTTAAAGCCAGAGTGAAAGGAGCGAAAATTACTGCTCGACCAACGTGTATTTCGGGAATGTGAGTTTGAAGAGGCTTGGACGACCATTATTTTCCCTGGATTGATTATAATTTGGTGGAACTCATTATCTGAAGAAGCATTGTTGCAGTCAGCAGAGACACACTTCATTTAGAAAATGATACATATTTAATATGTTTCTGTTGATTCTGGGGACTCGGCTGTTCTAGTGATGTTAAAATTGAGCGCTGCCTTTGATACGTTTGATCACAGGATCCTGGTTCAGTTCTATGCTATTCCTACCTTAAACAGACTCGATGCTCACACAGGTCACATGTGGTGGACACTGAAGCTTCAGTGTTTATCCAGCTCTGCATCGGTCTGTAAACCTTTCTGTGTTCTAACCTCTCTCCATTTTTCAAAAGCATCTCCAATATTGACCCTAGTTTGAGCACGTTTCTGCTCGTGGAGCTTATTAGAAACATGCAGAGGCTTTTTAGGTCGGGTACAATCACTTCTATCTGAACCACTTCTCTTGCCCACTTCCATCGCTGCAACACCTGTTGACCTGATAACTACTCTCATATCTGGAAAACCGAGGG